CAACCGCGCTCGCTTCTTGAAAAAGTTGCATCTCCAAAACTGCGGCACGCAGGAACATGAAACTCTCCTCATCATTAGAAAACACATGACTCTAAATTTGCAGAAAATTTCATAAAAATGATTCAGAAGCCTGATTTTTGCGAACATAGTAAATATGGGGTTTAAAAATCAAAGCCTTTCGTCAACTGCACTATCTTATTTAAAAATTCACACTTTCCAAACTAAACAGAACAAGACAATGAAACTTTTACCATCACTAGAAAACTTATCGCTCTTAAGATTCTGCAAGTTTCATAAGAATCGTGAGAGGTTCTCATTTTTTCTTGAACTCTCAAAGTTTGACTCTAAATTAAAGTCTTTAGTCAACCGCGCTCGCTTCTTTAAAAAGTTGCATATCCAAAACTGCGGCACGCAGGAACATGAAACTCTCCTCATCATTAGAAAACACATGACTCTAAATTTGCCGAAAATTTCATAAAAATGATACAGAAGCCTGATTTTTGCGAACTTAGTAAATATGGGGCTTAAAAATCAAAGCCTTCCGTCAACTGCACTCTGTTATTTAAAAATCCACACTTTCCAAACTAAACAGAACTGGACAATGAAACTTTTACCATCACTAGAAAACTTATCGCTCTTAACATTCTGGAAGTTTCATAAGAATCGTGAGAGGTTCTCATTTTTTTTGAACTCTCAAAATCTGACGCAAAATTAAAGTCTTCAGTTAACCAGTTTCACTTACTTAAAAATTTGTATCTCCAAAACTGCTGTATACAGGGACATAAAACTCCGCTCATCTTTAGAAAACACATCGCTCTAAATCTGCAGCAAATTTCATACAAATCGCTCAAATTCTGACTATTTCCAACTTATTAAATGTGGGTTTCAAAATCGAGCGTTCGGCAAACTGCACTCTCTTATTTAAAAATCCACACTTTCCAAACTAAACGGAACAGGACAATGAAATTTTTACCATCACTAGAAAATTTATCGCTCTTAACGTTCTGGAAGTTTTATAAGAATCGTGAGAGGTTCGCATTTTTTCTTGAACTCTCATAGTCTGACTCTAAATTAAAGTCTTTAGTCAACCGCACTCGCTTTTGAAAAAGTTAAACGCCCGGAAAACCCAGTCAGTTTCCAGAAAAAGCAACGACAGCTGATAATTTTTGGGTTACAAAAAATGTAGTGCTTTGATCCAATGCAGGGTTTCCAAACTTTTTCGATAATGGAACACTTTGCAAACCCAGAAATTTTAACGGAACACTTGGTTTACTTTTCAGTTGATTTCTACTGAACTTTCTTTCACACCTAAAAAAAGTCCCCATTTTTTGAAGGGATAACGTACGTTACTAATGCGTTACGGCGCCGTTATTTCTGGCAAAGACAAAGACAAGTACGCAGCTTTCTCTCGCACGCACACATTAGCCCGCGAGCTGAATATAATAGTGTGCAGTCTGCGCGCCGTTCTTGGGAATATAATAGTGTGTAGTCTGTGGGTCGGTGGCCTTTGGATGCGTTTTCGTCCGACCTGCTTTCGTCAGTAATCGCACGAAAAGGAGCGAATGACCCAATTTTTAAGCTTATTTTCTAATCAATAGCATCAGAAATTTCCATAATAAAAAACGTTTTCCGGTTAAATCTCCAGGGGACACAGTTTAGGAAACCCTGATCTGGGATTTGGGAAGCTCTAGCAGACACTAATTAAAAAATGAATTTCGAGGATCTTAAAAAAAACAGTTCATGTTTTGTGTAAAAGTGTGTCGTGTTGTGATAGCAAATTCCTCATTTTTTAAGCTTCCATCAGACGATAAACATGCAAAAGGCAACAATAATTAAAAAGCGCGATAGCAACGTCGTTGAACACACCAGTGCAATGCAACACGCACTAGAAAGAGAAGAAGAATGTCATCGCAAAGGGCTCGACTCCGTTGTCGATTTATGTAGCTAAACTATCAGCTACTTGAAACCCGTTTGTGTTTCATCTCTTTTTGATGCGTGCGATTTATTCGTTACTTTGTTGCTCTTGGGTAGGCCTGGGTAACTCAGTGAATTTTTGAGTTAACGCAGTGCTGCGTAAATGTCTAGGTGTTCCAACCCAACGCACCGGCGCAGTAACTTCGTTCCGTTGCTGGGAAAATGTTGATGACCTTTTTTTACTTGTTTGCCGATGTATGTTAACGACCATTTACTAATAATATTTTTGAAGTTTCTGCGAAAATTCAGAATTTTCAAGTTTTAACAGTAACAACATTCTTCTGAACGCTCAATTTTCTAAACTTTTACTTAAAAATACTGCCAATCTTAAAGTATTTTCTGCGAAAAATTATAAAATAAATTTTATTAGAACGGAGCCTCGTTTGATGCCTTGTAAAAAGTTTGGAAATTCGTTTCAGGCTAAGAGTTATAACTCATTAACCGATGAGTTAACAACTCAACACAGTGACCCAGGCCTACTCTTGGGGCTACTTGCATGCATCGGTAATACTTTGGAAGCGGCCAGTTTGAACAAAGTTGAATTAGAAACTTTGCAAAAAAGTATAAAATTAAAAAAAAAAAAACGTGCATGTAGCCCATTTTGCCTTCCCTTCAGCCCTGTTTAGGACGATTTTCCGCTATACCTAAATCGCGTTATTGCAGCCAAAAAAGCCCTTAGACAATCAATTCCTAATCCTCTTGCTGGAGGAATAAGGAAGTTTAGCTTGTTCGAATACTGACCGGCATAGTTGGCCTGATCATGCAGCGTTCTACTCCCATCTCCCACATACAAATTGGCATTATCGCCCAGTACTATATGCAAATTGGTCCCAACAGTCGCATGGGGCGAATTGACAATATTTGCTGTTGTGGTGCCTTCGGTTATATTGTTTCGAATAATCAGCTCGTTTGGGCTCGGGTGCTGCAAAAGATTTATTGGCCATAAGCACCGGTTTTACCTGTGCAGACGGTACTTGCATCGATTTGGTATCCCAGAGGCAGTACTTGAAGCTCATCCGAGCCCGAACTGGCGGTGCTGGACGAACAACTGGAGTCCACCCGATTTAGGCCGCTGGAGGATAATTGTAGGGACATTTGAGCGCCATCAAGTCCCACTTTTCACCACACCAAAACTGTCTCAGTGCATGTAAAACGCCAAACAGTCACGACGAAACGCATATTGTGTGATAATAAAAAAAATGTGTTTGATCCAAAATGGTGTCAATGTTCTTAATCCGTTATCTTGTCGCTATCAGATAACTCGGAGTCAACTAAACGCGAGATTCCTAAATAATATTCCCGAACGAAACTGATCAAGTTTACCTGCAGCATGAATGCAATGCGGAGGATTAATGGGAGACTGGGACAAAATTAGCCGATTTTCTGATAAGCCATAAAAATCTTCTATCTACAAGATGGGAACAAGCAAGGTCATAGATAACGAGTTACATGGAGCCTACATTTTGCTATGTATATACTCATGTGCTTGTTCAAATAGCGTCTCTCCAATGGGTTTAGATCTTCCGGCTTCTTTAATTGTTCTTTCAGGGTTTAGCAATTATTTGCTTCTTAATCAGTGAAACCCAGTTAACTTTTTTATTGATTCAATTCGTGTGTGGACATTGCAATGGAAGTTGGAAGTTGCCAGAAAACTTCATTTCTGTCTTCGAGCAAGGGCGGATCCAGAGAAACTTGACCCCCCCTCATTTGTGGCGGGTTTATGTCGACAAACGATGTTTTCTGTCTCTAATCTAATGAATAATTGAAGAAAATAAATACTTTGGATGATGGCAAACACTAACGCGAATGACACGCATTTTATGAATATTTTACGGTTTGATAGTTATATGACGCATCAGATCCTTCAGTATGAATAAATTAGTAACTCTCTTAATACGCGCCCGATTTGGATCATTGAAAATTTGTTCAAAAACGAGTGGTTTGGTCTAAAAATCGCAATTTTCAAACTCGAAATCAGTTGAGAATCTTGAACGTTATAAGAGTTTGAAGGAGGAAAAACGATTTTTCAAGACAAATGTTATCAATGTTTCCTTTGCGGATGTTTGGTCGATTTTTTTTGGGAAAACGGCATTTTGCATATGGACATTTTCTGCGTAACTGTTAATATCGGGCCGATTTAAAAATTCTGAAATATGTAGAAAATTTGAAAAAATTTTCATTTTTTCAAAAAATCGACCTTGGAAATATGTCGACCAAAAATCAAAATTTTACATACGGGTTTTTTGAGCTCAATCGATTCCTTTCGACGCGAGAAGCCCAGAAATATGCACTTATAAAGTGTTTGGGTCAATAATAAGGAAGAAATCGTCGGATAAATATTGTCGTTGAAAAAACACTTAAAATGTGCCGAAAATGTCTATTATTTCGGATCTGAAAATTCTAGCATGTTTTTCAATGAGTTCGATGCATTCCTCGCGTCCGTGAGTTCAAAATGCTATAAAATTAAGATCTTTTAAGAAAATTGTAATTAAAAAAAAATCGACCTCCACCCTTGGAAAAATTTCGACCAAAAATAAAAATTTTACATGCAGGTTTTTTAAGCTCAATCGATTCTTTTCGACGTAAGAAGGTTACAAATATGCATTTATAAAGCGCTTGGGGCAATAATAAGGAAGAAATCGTCGGATAAAGATCGTGAACGTTCAAAAAACGCTTAAAATGTACAGAAAATGTCTATTATTTCGGATCTGAAACTTCTAGCATGTTTTTYAATGAGTTCGATGCATTCCTCGCGTCCGTGAGCYGAAAATGCTGCAAAATTTAAGACATTTTAARAACATTTTCATTTTTTCTTGGAAAAATGTCGACCGAGGTTTCGTGCAAAAWGCACAAATTGCAAGTTTGAAACCTTCTACTGAAGTTCCTGCGTTGATACTTGAAAAATCGTTAAAACCACCCGAATAATCATTAGAACCGTGTTACAAACCGAACTGTTTACAGGGCTTTTATCGGGGAAATTGTTGAAAAAATCCAGAATCTTCTCTCCTCTGGTACTGAAGCAAAACTTGACAAATTCCTGGAYATTCTCACGCGTATTCCATGAAATTCCATGYTCKTTAAGCAGTCTAAACATGATATCAAAAAAATTATCGAACAATTCCTAATCCGAAAATCCATTGTGTAATAAATAATAAATAAGTCGGATAAAAACATCAATTTCGTGTGTCGTGTAATTCTTGATCGTCGTAATAATTCTTGAGAAACTTCGAAAAAAGCAGCGTCATGTTCAAGTGGATTTTGCATCCGAAAAAAACCACGCAAACCTAAAACTTCTTGAATTCAAGCATTTTTTGAGAAAACTGCCAGCATTTCCTGATCGATGGTTTACTTTCTAAAAAGGCCATTTACTTCTCTCTAGAATGATGTACAAATGAGCGTTCTTGCTCATTTTGCCTCCGAGAWATGAGCAAAAAYGGGACGGAAAACATGGAATTTTGGCATAATTTTGCACCTGTGTCTGATATTCAAATTTCGCTTTCTGGGTCAAAACCACTCGAATTTCCTCACTAACGTTCTTAAGACTGAATCGACTTTTCAATTCTCTATCCAACGATGCCAAAACGAATACTGTGGCTCGAATGGTTCTTGAGAAACTTCGAATAAAGGCCATTTAGTTATCAATGGAATGATGTAAAAACGAGCGTTCTGGCTCATTTTGCTTCCGAGAAACATGCAAAACGGGACAAAAAACATGAAATTTTGCAATAATCTTGCGCCACCCTTGCACAAAACGACGATCATTTTTTTAATTTCAAAGATAACAGAAGACTCTAWTTTTTCTACATAACCCCCTCCCCCTGACTAAAGCTGGATCCGCCGCTGTGCAACGGAACATAACTCTATCTCAGAGCCTTAGAAACTCGCTCTCATCTGCTGGGCAGTTCGGTTCCTCCATTGCCTCTATACTCCTTTAGCTCTTAAACTGTGGAGCTACACGTTGCTTCGGCCTCTTCCCTGCTGACCAGTTTGGGAATAGTGATGGGAATCCCATAGAGGGCAGCCTGTTCAATGAGCTCTCTGTGCTTCCTCAAATCCGCATCCAGTTTCTGCTTCTTATCCACTTTGAGGTGCTTGGCTGTTGCGTCCGTCGGTTCTTCCAAATCTGCAGTCACCTTGTAGTAGATACAAGTGGAATCCGGATGAACGATCGCCAAAAATAGGCTGCAAAAAGCGAGAATATCAGGATGTGTGCCCGATCAGTTCGGATTGCCACCTTTTGGTCTGGGTGCTGCTTAAAAACTGCTGCATTTTCTCAAAACTCAGGCACTCGAAGCTGGCAATTGGCACAAAGACTACAACGTCCTCAGTGGGTTTCTTTTTCGCTTTTATGACGATCTTTCCCAGCTCTGGGTTGAATTCGTAACTTGGGCTCCAGTAGCGCTTAACTGGAGGATTAATCAACTTAAAGTTGGCTTTAAATTACTTTCAACAGACCTTCGCACAGCTCCAAGTAGACTTGCGTAGCCAAAAGGGACGCCGTCTCATCAGCCCCCATTTTCTGGAATTGGCCCCTCTGGAACGCATGCAACTTATTAGCACCTTCGAGTGTTTGCCTGTTAACGCATTACTTACCAAATGTTGATTCATTCTAAGCTTTTATTTAAGTATGAAAATTCACGCTAAAATTGAGGTTATAATTCCAATAATTTGCATGTTGCGACTTGCGAGGCGAAGTGAAACTAGATGTGGATCGTGCGCCATTTTCTAGTAAACGCGACAAAATGGTGGCAAATACTGCAATTTTGGTGTTTGGGCTGAGAAATTAGGATTCCTCCACATTTGACTTGCATCGGGGCTTCCAAAGGCTGCTCTTAAAGCGGCTATTTACTCCACTTCAGTGGAGTTTGGAGCGATTAACACATTTCTAACCTCTAAGAAGCTGGAAGCAAAAAATTCCAAATTTAAAGGGCCCCAGTGCCGATATTTCAGAAAGGCTGAAAATCACGACCTTTTGCCTAACAGGTTTCATCCGGAAGTCCTAACCTCCAAAGAGAAAGAAGCAAAGGTGCGCAAACCCTAAAAGAGTTAAAACAGCTTATATCTTGCAAACGCTTGCAAATATCTGTTGAGTCCTAAGAGCCTTTTTGGTCGGGTGTTTTGAGAACTATCTTTTTCTTCTCAGGCGTCATCCAAAATTCCTAACCTTCAGAGATTATGTCATTTTTAAACTGACATTTCGGAAACGGGTGGAAAAATCAGATTGGCCGTAAACCATTTTCGATGGCCTCTCAAGCTACCTTCCGCCAACTGGATTTTATTAGAAAATTCTAACCTCCAAAGAAACAGAAGCAAAATTTGAGGGCCGCGAAGCGTTAACCCGCAGGCATTTCTGAAACAGTTAAAAACAGCTAGGGACTATTTCGATAGAGCGTTTCGAGACTGAACTTTTCCTCCTCAGGCATCAAACGAAATTCCTAACCCTGATTTGAGTTTTATTTGAAATTCGCTATGGTTTTAGAGTAAGAAGCGAAAACCTCAAATCGTCTGGCTACGTAAGAGTTTAACAGCTCCCTGAGATGATCGGAAATTTTGTATTAATTGTAAAAAGTTTCGGATACTGGATTTAATTAGACATTTCTAACCTCCAAAGTAACAGAAGCAAAATTTGAGGGCCGCGAAGCGTTAACCCGCAGGCATTTCTGAAACAGTCAAAAATAGCTAGGGACTATTTCGATAGAGCGTTTCCAGACTGAATTTTTCCTCCTCAGGCATCAAACGAAATTCCTAACCCTGTTTTGAGTTTTATTTGAAATTCGCTATGGTTTTAGAGTTAGAAGCGAAAACCTCAAATCGTCTGGCCACGTAAGAGTTTAACAGCTCCCTGAGACGATCGGAAATTTTGTATTAATTGTAAAAAGTTTCCGATACTGGATTTAATTAGACATTTCTAACCTCCAAAGAAATGGGAGCAAAAATGTGCATTTTGCGCGCCGCGAAGCGTAAAACCCCCTGTATCTCCAAAACGGTTGAAAATAGCTGATCAGTTCTAAGAACCATTTCGATAGAGCGTTTTGAGGTCTAACATTTCCGTCTCAGGCGTTAAGCGAAGTTCCTAACCTTAAAAAAATAGACCCACATTCTTGAACATTTTCACTTCCATGTGAGAAACGGTTGAAAATAGCTTGAAAAAAACTTGAAGTTGAAGCCCAACAACCAAGGCGAATGAATCAGAAGCAAAAATGATAAAGATGAGAGGAAAAAAGAGAAACACTGCAGGTGACAATGAAAAAAATCAACGCAAACATCCAAAAATAAATGATAAATAAATAAATACGCAAGTGAGGCATTTCGACTATTTAGAAATTGAATTAATAACGGATGTAAAACAGATTAAAATATCCATACAAAACTGACAAAGATTAACAGGGGGAAAAACACCACAGTCGAGATTGAAAAATTCAAGACACTAAAAGCAAAATAAAACGGAAATTTGGAACTTCAAAATACACAAATGAGGACAGTTTAGAAATCAAATCACGGAAATTTTGGAAGTACATTAGTTCCAAATAATCATGCAAAAGTGATAAAGATTAAAGGACAAGAGAAAAACGCGACAGGCAACATTGAAAAAATTCAACGCAAGAAAAGCAAAATAAAACGGAAATTTGGAACTTCAAAATACACAAATGAGGCATTTTAACAGTTTAGAAATCAAATCACGGAAATTTTGGAAGTACATTAGTTTCAAATAATAATGCAAAACTGATAAAAAGGACAAGAGAAAAACGCGACAGGCAACATTGGAAAAATTCAACGCAAGAAAAGCAAAATAAAACGGAAATTTGGAACGTCAAAATACACAAATGAGGCATTTTAACAGTTTAGAAATCAAATCACGGAAATTTTAGAAGTACGTTAGTTTCAAATAATCATGCAAAAGTGATAAAGATTAAAGGACAAGAGAAAAACGCGACAGACAACATTGGAAAAATTCAACGCAAGAAAAGCAAAATAAAACGGAAATTTGGAACTTCAAAATACACAAATGAGGCATTTTAACAGTTTAGAAATCAAATTACGGAAATTTTAGAAGTACGTTAGTTTCAAATAATCATGCAAAAGTGATAAAGATTAAAGGACAAGAGAAAAACGCGACAGGCAACATTGGAATAAATTCAACGCAAGAAAAGCAAAATAAAACGGAAATTTGGAACGTCAAAATACACAAATGAGGCATTTTACAGTTTAGAAATCAAATCACGGAAATTTTAGAAGTACGTTAGTTTCAAATAATCATGCAAAAGTGATAAAGATTAAAGGACAAGAGAAAACGCGACAGGCAACATTGGAAAAATTCAACGCCAGAAAAGCAAAATAAAACGGAAATTTGGAACTTCAAAATACACAAATGAGGCATTTTAACAGTTTAGAAATCAAATCACGGACATTTTGGAAGTACATTAGTTTCAAATAATCATGCAAAAGTGATAAAAAGGACAAGAGAAAAACGCGACAGACAACATTGGAAAAATTCAACGCAAGAAACTAGAATAAAAACAAAACTTCGAACTGCAGATGCGTTGATTCTAATCTATTCAAAAGCCCCTGCTGTGAACTGTAATTCGCACATAAGTCTCAGCTGGAAATCCTAACCTCTAAGAGGATAGAAGCAAAAATTTCGATTCCATCCAAAGTGCTTTTCAAAAAATTACACTTTTTGACGCAGTAACCTTGGAAAGAAGTAAATTATGCGTAATTTCCCATCCAAATTCCAGCTAGTCTATCGGCTTTAAGCCCCGAGTATTAAGAGGAAGCTTACGTCCATAAAACACTTGACTGTTCGAATGGTTTCTAGCTCAAAATTGCAGTCTATTGGACTTGGCACTTTTCAACTACTGATTGGTTTTCGCAATTATTTGCTGCAATTAATCGATAATTAATTAGTGGCTGTTCGATAATCTTTGCAGCATTCAAGCAAGAAATGAACGTTGCAAAAGCGTCTGCACCCTTTGTTTGTAATTAAACACCAAATCCCAGTTTGCTCGCAGCACATCAAGAACAATTATTATTAATTATTGTGATTAGGCAAGGTGAAAATAACGTTAGAATTAGCGGCATTAACGTTTCGAGGATTTTTTCATTAGATCGCTAACCGTTTCCGTCTCAACCAGACTGATTTGTGCTATTTACCAACAAACCGGTTTTGCTGATGTTTTTCGGGCTCTTTGATGACGCTACGATTGAGTGAAAAGTGCAAATCAGGAACAACACACGAGCTTTCCGCTCATCCCCAGTGCGGATCGTTTAATCCCCATTAGTCGACTGCAAATATCTGTAAAACCACATTGTTAACTAACTCCATGGGATTAGCGGTTTGATTTATTTATTAGAAAAATTTAAAACCCCCGGATTAGCAGTTTTTTATTATCATGTCACGTGCCTGCTGCTTTACACCTTGTTACGAGTCTGTTGGTATTGCGTCTTCGAATCCCGCCAGTTTTTCTCTTTAGAAACTCAAATTTCCTTGCCTTTTTCATACATAACTGATTGCATTTTGTTCCTTCTGTACAGAGAGAACGATCCTCTTTGGGGTCAATTGGTGGGAGTTTTAGAGATGGAAAGGAGCGAGATCCGCTCAGATCAGTCTTAAGTCCACTTGCTCCTCTAAATCAATTGGATGCTAATAAGTGGCAATAAATGTGTCTCCCTTCCACTTGCCCCAGGAGACACTAAATTTTCCGCTGTTTTTTGATTAGCAATAGTTTGGCGTAGTGGGGGAAGAACTTCCTCCAAGGCGGCCAGCTTGAGTGACCGAAACTTGCTCCATCCTATTTACAAATCCAGCTTCTCTGCGAAAAGCGCGAACTGATTTTTCTCGACGTTTTGTGATTTCAAAAAAACATCCAGGTGAGTTCAAGGAACAGTTTTTGTATGGCAGCTTTGATTGAGTGGAAAATTGCGCGTTGATTCTGACCAGGCTTCCTCCAACTTATGTAACCAAAAACGCCTTGGTTCTTCCTGATTAAAACCCATTTTCTGGTCTGGTTGGTTCTTTTTCTGCGATCCATCAGTTACAGGCCGATAATCGCATCGAAAATAATGGGCACACGACACGTTTGCACTGAAAAAATCGGCCATAAATTTATAAACAGCCGCAGATCCTCCTAATCCTCGTAAAGTAATCTGCAAGTGATTTTGCGAACCTTTTTGCCAAATCCTCTTTATCTTTATATGGTGTTTGCGATGTCTGCTCCTCTAATGCCGAAACGATGGTGACGTTGCCCAATGAAACATTTTTGATAGAAAAAGTTCCACAAACGCAAACCTATCAGGGATCAGAGTCGATTTTAAAAAGCCCGAAAATTTGCTTTTCACATCACTGTTGCCGGTTGGGTGAAATGAACACACATCAGATCCTGCTACAGTTGAAAGTGACTCGAAGGCGAAATGTTTTACTTAAAAATGAAATTCTCTTGTAAGTACTTTGATGCGTTCTGGCCCTTGCCCTTGTCTAAATTAACGAATTATTCGCCAGTTTTAACGCTTTCGTTGTTTTTCAGGATGCCATTGGAATGGGGATACAACGAGGAAAACGGTAAATGAACATTTAACTGGGATCGTTTCGCACATCAATCAATGGAAACAGTTTTTCGATAGAAAAATCCCTGAATTGTCTCAAGTGGGTGCCAAAAGTGTGTGCGAAAAATAAAAACCTGACGCAATGTCGACATTCAGGTCAACAGTCGGGTGTTTTCTCAAAAATTTTCCAACTTCAGAGCCAATAATAATTCGAAATTAATGCAATTGAAAGCGGTGTTTACAATTTTTTATATCAAAAAAGCATTTGGCACGAATTCAAATCGGCTTCAATTGCTCAGCGCTTTAAAGACGATTTTTGTCCCTCAAAAATAGATTTTCTTGACTTATTTATACGCGGTTTTCAACGGAATTTATTAGGGCCTTTCAGGGTCTTTATTCACTTCAATCAATTGGGTAACCAACCGATGCATCATAACATGCAAAACCTGCTGAATAAAACATGCTGTTTACCAGCGACTGTGACTAATATTACCATTCTTGTGCATCAGCTGCATTTCGCGCGCTATATTGACCGAATTCACTTAACACTCTTACTCAAACAGTTGCATCAATTTTCGCCTGATTATCAAAGTATATCAGCTTACTGTGAAAACCTTAGCAGATTCGAATGTGCACACTTCTAAATTTGATCACATTAGCACTTGGAACATGCAAACACCAAATCCAATCCAGCCCAAGTGCGAAAATCTGTCCATTAGCATAACTTCATTCTGCTTAGTCTTACGGATTTTAGCACTAATTCTGATCACTTAGTCCATTTGCAACATAAAAGAAATTAGTCGATCGTGAATAAAACTACTGATGAAACAGAGATTAATCAAACCTTTTCAAAAATGGAATCGTTTGCGTGTTAAGGTCCAGAAAAATGGCAGCACAGTTATCCAGAGGCGGCTGGAGCCCGACAAAGTCCCATCGACATCAGGGCTGTTGATCTGCAAGCCTTCAACACCAACAGGAAACTCAGCTGGAATTACGTCCCGGAGAACACCAAGGAAGTGTCCAATCCGGGATATTGCTGGAAAGTCAGCGTCGATGGAACAGGATCAAGTAAGCATCCAGATTCAATTGAAATGTTCTCGACGTTTCGCAAGGATTAGTGGCCTGCAGCTTCAGGGGTGGTTCAGAGGAGTTTATGGGGGACTTCTTAGGTCGGAAACAATCCAATAAGGGCAAAATCGCGATTGCAAAATGTTGATTTTTGGTCGAAAATTTCATAAGGGGGAGTAAGAGGTCGATTTTTCCAAAAAATTCAAGTTCCTCAAAATATCTCGAGTGATACATCATTTTCATCGGAAAGAGACAAGGAATGCAACGAGCTAA